TAAAGCAATAAGTCTCTGGTCATGAACCACCTCATCAGAATCATGAGCAATGACGTCATCTTGATAAAATTCAACATCTTCAAGATTACTAACTTCATTATCCATCAATTCCTGAAATGTGGTTGGAGAACAACTCACACCAAATGGAAGGAAGTTGTATTTGAACAGGTCAAAAAGAGTATTAGTTGTTGTCAAAGTAGATGAAAATTGATCTAAAGGGGTTTGAAAATAAGCATCTTTTAAGTTAACTTTCAAGAATACCTTAAAACCATGAAGTCTATTCAGAATATTTTCAGCTTTCACCGTTGTGCATGTTTACTTCAACAAACGGGAGTTCAATGTAAATCAATAGTTACCACATATTATAGGGGTACGAATAATTCAATATCCACTTCAAAGTACCACTTCTCAAAGACGATAAGGAATTATTCGTATTTTTAAGACAAACTGGATCACTCTGTACTTGAATTTCTATGTGCTGAATTCTCATCCCTCCACTGCACCTAGCACACGCAGCTATTAAATCTTTAAGTAAAGCGATAGAATCTTCTTTAGAAACTAATAAAGAACTCCATTTTAAGCCTTTTCAAACCCAGTAATGAGGGTCCTGTTTTACTAACTAAAAACTCACAAGGCATTATGAGGAATTATCATTTCTAATCAGCAATTCACACATCCTCGTATGGGTAGTTTTTGTCCAGTAAATCCCAATACTAAGACTTCAGTGGGTCATACTACAACGTTAGAATCTAAAATTTTCAAGTTCTTGGATGAAATATTAGACTCATTACTGCCTGTGTCAGCACTAAAGTCATGAAATGAACCATGTGATGTACATAATAATGTCTTCTGAATATGGACATTACCTTTTGAAATCGTGGATAGAGATAAATGATGATTAGAAACACTCAACTGAATAAAATCAGAATTATAGGGTTTATCATCACTAGTGGCAAAATGAACAGTAGCTTTACAGACCGACATGATGTGTTCCATTTTACCACACATAAAGCATTTGGCATGACGAAAGACACATGGATTACGTAAGTGAAATTTACAACAGGATAAACATCTACCGAACCTGTGCTCATCTGCTTTGTAATTGAATGTTAAATCACTTTTCATATTTCTATGAGAATGGGAACCATTATTAAGCAAATGAGAGTTTGAGTGTTGCTGAGAATGCAGTTCATCACGATGATTAAGCAAAGTACTAGAAATTTTCACTCACTACAAATCAACCTCATTCACTGTTTAGATTTCTTGGGATGAACTTTTGCGCTGCTGAATTAATTCCCTTCCTTAATTCGGAATATTTATACTAGCAATCAACCGATCACGAAACTGTTTCCAATCGGTTTGCGAAATTGCGCTTCGCGACCTGTTTCTACAGTTCAAGTATAAGACCTTAACTTTCTGATCATTTTATAAAGCTTCGATGTCTCTACATTTATAGCTAGTACACTGCACATGACTATGTGATAATTCTCTGAGTGATTTATACGACAATGAAATTAGTTTTTGTGGAGAAGTCAGATTCTTCAGCAGGTTATAATCTTCTTTGCCCAAGAACGTCAGGAATTAGGCTATGAATTTATCATCTTTAATACGTTTTTTAGTCATGCACCAGATCTTGAAGCGCTATATGTGGTTCTCAAAGTCATCCTTACTTGGGTTAATATCCAACTGTCCGAAATTTGACTCCATCGCGACGCCAATATGATAAATAAGTGTTCGGATTAATATACTAAGAGTTCCCTAAATAGTACACTTTAAGGCAGACAGCATTATATGAGCACAATGAACGTATTATATTTGTAATTCGTAATTAGCGGGAAATCAAGTACAAAGGAATCATCAGTTCGTACAAATACTACAGTGAACGAGTTTTTTTAGTCAGACCCACCTCTTTTATCCGATAGTTGGAGTTAAATAGATCATAATGAAGCCAGCCATTTATCATGTGTTAGGCTATCTGTTTAGATTGTAATTATGGCTTAGAGTAAATAGGACTTGTCTGACAATTTTTCTATTGACACCATCGCCGTCGTAGACAGTGGATTGAAATTAGTAACAAAGTTATTTAAGTCAGGTTGTCTGAAACTACAGACAAGTTTCATGCTCCTGCACATTTATTATGTAAGATTGCTCAGTAATCATTTTCATTTTAGGAGGAGTCATCCAGTGGACTGTCCTCTCTGAAACCGTTCTGTCAAAAAACGGAAGCCATCATGGAAATAGAAGCCAATCAACTTTTATCTTCAGCATTTTCGCGTTCTGTAAAAATGTTGGAAGAAAATAAGGACAACCTGTTAGCACTTATTGATGCTCTTTTAAAGAACGAAGTTCTCAGTTACGATGACCTGACGAAAATTTTAGGTGATAACAAACGTTCAACAAAAATTAAACCTCGTTTATAATGTAATTTCGTTTAAATTCCTTCAACTTCTTGTGTATATAAACATCGTATTAACCCTATTCTTATGTAACTGTTATTCATTGATTCGGATAATTGGTTGTAAATAGTGGTTATCAAACTTCACATCTACTGAGGTAGTTCTTAAGATATTCCAATATCTTCACACTGCTTAATCAATTAGTCAGCAGTTATGGCGCTTGACTTTCAGCTAGTAAGTCTCAGGCTCAAACCCCGTTCCACTAACTTGGGTTTGGGTAACCGAGTAATTCCAATAATCCTTACACTGGAATTGTGACTCGAAGCCGAGTAAGCCAACATGTACATGGTAAATAAATTGAGTGAATGACTAGCGAATTGTTGTTGATATGTTTTAGTCTAGTGTCAAAAGCTTTAGCGATACAAGTTGGTTTTGAAAACCATACATGTACTCAGTCAACAGCTTTATGTTTATGAGATGATAGGAGAACAGCATATCCCAAGTCAGATGTTACACGTGGTTTTTGTTTTGGAAATTTACGATTACAAGCAGGGATATTACTGCACACTTGTTCATTGAATCAATTTGTAACGTACAGTCTACCAGTTGCTGTAATATCACGTCGATTGCATTCCAAAAAAACTTCAAATTGCAAAAGATGGATTTGGTAAACTGCTGAAACTGGGCCATTTTGCAGTCTAAATCCTCTTTGTTGGATATGATTCTTTGGAAGGATTTGGCTATCCGCTGACTACCACGTACTAACAATCAAATGTTTGCGGACCGAAATCTTGTGCAGCAAACTAAAAGTTTTCAAAATTAATGTTGCAAAAGAATCTCGCTTTATTGAACAGATAGTTCAGAATTCGCTCTCTTATGTATATATTGACTATTTGGTCGTGAACAGAGCAACAGCTGATGATCATTTACATCTCCGTACCACGATCATTAAGAAGCATTTCCAGCAAGCCATATGGCCTTTCACATCCCGGTATTCGCGGGATTTACGTTCGTAAGAGTTATGTACGTGTAGCTACATATGAGTCGTGACGTTCCACAGTAGGCGTAGACTTATTTGAAGTGTCAAAAATGAAATGATACAGTTGCTCCTACAGGCAAGTTTATGGAACCAGATAATGTATTTGAACACATCCACATAAGCAAGAGTCGTTACCTACATTAGATAATCCCACGAATTAAATGACATGTAGAGACTTAATATGTGGTCGTTAGCAGTACCCCTAAAAGATAGATCAGTCAAAGTATTTGCGAGAACTATTATCTACCATCTTTGAAGTAGTTTTTGCTAATTACTGTGGGTAGAAGTGGACAAAGCAAAAGCCACCTCTTTTAACAGATGAAGGATGCATTTATTTTCACATCGTTTGATTGAATTTTTCCGTTGATATTTAGATCTTTAATTGAACAACCACTTATTGGCATACGTGCTTCCTGTGCGAATTGCCTCGATATTACCTTAGGTCACAAGCATTATAAGCAAGAATGAATGGTAGCTAGTAGTGGAATCCAGGACGTAGGTCTTTTTTATCCGGGACTCTTCAGTTAGATGTATCTGCATATCAGAGTCGATATTAACTCCGCGACTGAAACTCATTACCCTTCACTTCCAACGTTATCGTATTATGCATTTAGCTACCGAGTCCAGACAGCCACTAGTTTGTGCTAAGTGAACAATGCGATAGCATTTTTGGCGAACGGTACTGGGTTGGAGTCCCGGAGTGAACATCAAATCTAGCATGCAGGTACATCCAGTTGACGAATCTCAAACAGGAAGAAATGCGCGTCCTGGATTCCACTGCTAGCCACCATCCATCTTTGCCCATAGCCGAAGGATCTGTCAGGGCGTTATCACAGTACCGATATGAATTGAAAGGAGTTGCCTCTCAAACTCCATCGGCTAGTATTCTAAAGCTAGTTGGTTAGTAGAATTTTGCATAAACGCATTGCTTCAGGTTTTCACTTCTACAACAGCATATCTTGTACAAACTTTACAGGACAGGATTACAAGCAGAAAAGTAAAATAAATAGGATTATAGGGAATTTGGATAGTCGTCAAAGACTATATGGTTGGTTGTCAGGATTTTATGGTTTATTGTTGGTTATTGTCTCTATTTTGATGTGTTCATGTGGTGTATGCTACTTATGTTGACATAAGTAGTATATGACACCAGTCAGAAGTGAAATGCCTGGAGGCAGGTTGTAAAGATAGAATCGAAGAGAACGGGGACTGAGAGCAATAAAGTTTGAGACAATTAATAGGATATTTGCAGATGAAGTATTTTGTGTATGGTTCTTATATTTTACTACGATACTCTTTAATTTTGTTTTAAAATACAACTGGTTGTCCCCCAACTGTTTCCATCCACTACGTTTATACTATACGCTATAAAAAAGTTTAAATACCAGCCTGTTATTTTGTGTTTATTTTTGTCAAGTAAAATTGATTTACATTTTATGGTAATTTTATTGTGTATATGAGAAAGTAGGAGTTATTCAAGCGTCATCCAGTACGCTTAACTTTACAGGAATACTAGCTTAATTTAAATAAAATATTATAATGACTTCATTTTCTTTGCTGGTGGCTCAACATCTGAAGTTAGATCATATTCTGATAAGTATTTTATGAATGAATCCGATAACTGGAAATCGGAAGTGTTTATTTGTTTTGTGGATTGTATTTCAGGAACGCTAATGTCTTTCTCGATAAGAGTCTTTAATTCAATACGGAGATCATCAGATGACAGATGCGTTAGATGGTCTAAAGAAACTTGTCTCCCATCGATATGTAGCATGTACTGTTTTGTCGAAGTAACTCCTATCCCCCCAACACAAACATCGTTTCCCCATTGCATAATTAAATTAGCTAGTTGATTTACCTATAAAAAAGTATTTTGAAAGACAATGAACCAGAAGAATATGAAATAATACATGGCATGCCATAAGTTTTAAGAATAAATAACAAACTTCTTGTTGGGATATTCAGAAAAATATCCCAAAAATTATTCTGTTAAGTCTAATGCTATCCTTGGACTTCAGATGGTATCATTTTCCTATTGGTCAATATTTATTTCACGTATCATTTTCCTACTGGTCAATACTTATTTCACGTGTCATTTTCCTGTTGGCCAAATGTTGTACAAATGTTATTTTCTATTTTATGGTACGATGTGGTCTGTTGATTGGTATATAAACAGAGTATGTTTGAAATATAACGATTCATATCGTAGAGGCTGAGACTTGTGTTCTGTACTTATCTGGCTGGGCTAAGCGGAAAGCAGGGCCAATCAGAACCCTAGACTGCTCGCACGTGTTTACGCGTCATTGTTCCGATCGATAAGTCACCGCTCTCTAATCGGCGGTCACAAGTTATAACACTTCTCGAACACCATTCAAAATGTTTAGCGTTTGTTACTATCATTACTACTACGATGATCTTGACTCCTTTGCTACTCATTACGTTGATTTCATTTCGTCGTATTGATGCAGTGCGACAACTAGAGCTAAGGCACATTTGTACTAGAATCTACTTTGATTATAATTGACTAACTGTTATGAATTGATAAGGAAATTCCAAAGACCATTCAAAATTAACAAAGTAAAATAACTACAGGTCATAATCTGTTAGTTTAGCGGTTTTATATATATTGACTACTTCGTTGGTAGATTTCAATCGAGCAAATGATCGTGGGAGTGCAGCGTGGTATTAATCCGTAAGAAAATCGACTAAGTCGAACTAAAAGTTACGTATGAATTAGGGCTCTTAAATAACCCCGTAGTAGAAGGTACAATTTTTTTTAAGGTAGACTGGGTTTTCAAATTCACTTATTATTTATACAGAACATTTGGAAATTTTGGTCAAGCATGAATGGATGACAACTGCTCACTAGATCCGAAATCAGGGTCAATAGTTTAAGTACTTTATCAAATGGTAGTGTGGCCGAATACTATTTAAAAAACCTAAGTATAATTCAGTAAGTTTGGTGTATATACATGATATATATGCTAAATAAACAACACTACCATTTTAGATTGAAATCTACCGAACAATTTGACTCTGTGGATTTGGTTATATCTGTTCCATAGGAAGCTATCGTGACATAAAGACTACATTGTTTTTCCATGCTAAAAGGGGATTTAAATTTTTATTTAGTCCTCATTTTGAAATAATAACCGAGAGACTGACAATTCAGCTCTAGTAGATTTATTAACCACCGAACTGTGAATTCATTAGGATAATATATGTAACAGCCAAATAACATGACTGAAAATACTGTTTAAACAAAACTTCTTACCACGGGATCAGAATGCTTTTTTAATAGAAGTAGGTCCCATAAACATGCGCTGGCAGGAAAGCATAATTCTGGATCATTCACATCTGGTTTATAGTTACTGCATATTTCTGGATCACAGTCGAATAGAATTTCACAACGCGGAAAAAGCCGAAGAAGATGGAAAAGCTTGATAAGCAAGGAACTGGAGCAGTATGGATCTGACTGAAGTTGAAAAAGGTTTTTTTTAATTTATTCGATTATTACTTGAAGTTGTGCACTAATATTCAAATGATACAATTTTTTAATGGACTGAAGTATACATCAAAATGCAAACTTTTTGAAAGAAGCTACCAGAAAACACTTTGATCAGATTCACAGAATTTGAACCAGTATTTTAGCTACGACTAGATCAATGTTTTAGTAGTTATATCGTTTGACCAGTTGCTGAACTGTAGACTACAGTTTCGCCTCTGTAGTTTTAAACTGAAAGTATGAACCTTTATGTGATGTTTGTGTTACTTAATAATTCATCTGTACATTATTCCACACCTGATTTAAATTACAAAATATAAAACCTTCCGATGTGCACAGTATTTTCTCTGGCTTACTGGTTCATACATGATTGCGAGAATACAAATTAAAAAGTCCTGGGAATTACCAGTTAGCATATCGACTCGACTACTAATTATCATACTTTACCTGATTATGAGTGGAGCTAGAATATGACGTTTCGGTTTTACATCCCCAGGAATCTACTGTTATGCCATGTTGTTAAAATTCCTCTTAGTTTCCAAATATGTTGATTTTCTAATTGTTTAATAAATTGTACGTAGCTAAGGAGCGTACAATGAATTAAAAGCACACTGTATATTTGTTTCACTTTACTTGGTTAATTACAGTTTTTGAATAGTGACTAACTTTCATTAAATCGGGAAAGTACCAATTTACTCATTCTATTCATGGTATTATTATTACTATTATTATTATTATTAATGGCTTCATTCAGTATTATGTTTGGTGCAACGTGGAATTATCAAAACAAAGTACTTCAACAGGTTTCTCTTACAAAAAAACATACATGTATACAAAACTGGTCACTGCTTCTCACTAGAACTCCAGGATATACATCTTGAAGCCAGTCACTAGTGGGCGTATGTTGATTATTATCAGAAGGGGGTTTTGTGGAGATTTTAGTCATTCCAATAGGTCGAATCCCGCGAAGCGGGATCGTGGATGCGCACTGCTGAGGAGTCCCACAATAGGACGAAACGGCTATCCAGTGCTTTCAGGTTTTCCATGGTGGTCTAGCTTGAGCATCTGGGCTACCTGTTCCTGCCATCTAGATATTTCAACAAGTTATTTACTTTTGTTTGTTTTAATATATCATTATGTCTATTAATCGCATAACATATCCTGGTGCATTTCTGAAAATTGTACAACTTTTCGTTGCAAAGTTACAAAAAGCCCAATAAGAGATAATGTAGTCGCTGGCAATATGCAGCAAAAAGAATATACACTATTCAAATGTCCATTTACTGGACTGCTAACATCTAACTGGGTATCACTCAATATTTATCGTCAAGATCGACCAAGAAGTAAGAAACGGAAACTTTTTGAAATACTTTGTGCTGAGAATTCTATATTGTACTGAAAATATAATATTGAATAAAGCTTATAATAATAATAATTAATAATTGACTCATGATCTCAACTAATGTATACATAAATTAAGTTAATAAGCTAACTAGAATTAAATGAAATGTTTTTTAAAAAGATTAGAATCTGTGCAATTTTTTAATTAAAAATATGTTTAAGAATACAAGTTCTAGTCGACTAGATCAGCTCTAACAACCTGTCCATAACATAGTATATTTGCTAGATAAAATATTGTAGAGCTTTTATATTTTTGCTTGCGTGCATGGATTCTAATGTATTGGTGCCTCGTTTTACCAGAGAATATACATGGAAAAAGATATGAATGGAGTGGATGGTTAAAATCTGACAACACCTGTCAGGAATTTGCAAGATGTTAAATGTTTATCCACAACCAGATTAATAATGACCTCAAAAGATTCACTACACACCTTACTGACTGCTAAGCTGATGATAGTATTTAGAATATTTGCTGAAAATCTATTCTTGTCGCTACTGTTAGTGATAGGATCTCAATGATTTTTAGGACGAAATTTCCGATTTCTAAAACAAACAAAAAGAATACTGATTGATGTTTGAAATGCAGTGACACGATGTAGCTGAATGATTGCTATTCACGATACCGTATTATTGATCCAAACCTCCGAGTGATTTAAAACCAGAGATAAGACCACCAGCTAGAAGAATACACCAATTATGTAGTAAAATAACATGCTTATGTACAAAAGATTACCACAAAATAAGCCTGGTAAATTGTCGTAGATGACCAGAGAAAATCGACTTATATCCCATTCAGTCTTCAATCAGCCAAGACCTGGTCATTAGGTATAATTGTTGAGGATCGTAACAAACAAGAAAGAATAAAGTGAATATTATGCAAAATTCGAAAACAAATACACACTTGTGTTTAAGACTCCGAGTCGCACTTAGTGTGATTGTTAAATATGCTATCTGGTTGCTGTGAGCGAAGTAGTATATCAATACCTTAATAAAAAAGTTTACTGGTTGGATAACAGGTTTCATTTTAGTATTAAATTCCCAATAATGTCGTTTAATTTCGTTAGCATATATTTTTTTTCGGTAAATATTTGATATTAGACCCAGGCTTATTCTCTCTATATAGGACACCACGCTAAAAATTTTGCTCTAAATAGATACGTTATATAAATATTAAGACACTGTGAATATATAAATAATTCCAGACTTACTACTGCCAAAGCTGCGCTAGATAAACGCTTCGAGAATGCGAGGATTCGGTTGGTTGAAACCTCATGTTTTCTTCTCACAAGAAGTATATTTAAACAAGATATAAGGGTATCTGAGATATGTTCCATTTCGTACGCACTAATCCTATTGCTTATACTGGCAGTAACAGAAGTGGTTTCATCTGAACATGTAGTTTTATTCGAACTTTCGGTGATTTTAGATCGTTGCACAAGATTGGCAACAGCTTGTGCAGCTGGGGTATTCGAGCGATCATAGGCTTTGATTATGGAAGATAAGTGAGAAACTGCATTGTCACTCTCTGTTATATTACTCACACTGACGCCCGCGATGCGTCCCAGGATAGTGTATAAATGATTACAAAATGTAGTAGGATCTGTAGTGAGAACATCAGACGCATCAGATGACGATATGATAGACAAAGCTGTATGTACACAATGTAGACCATCCACAATGCTGGTTGACTGTAAAAGGAAGTGATGATACACGTACATAGTAGAAAATCGGAACAAAAAAGCAGTTATCTGAATATGTTGTGGATGAACGAAGATGCTAACTATCACTTGGTTTAGTAGCATATGGGCGTATCTGGATGCTATAGACATTAAACCAACGGCTTTGTGAGCAACTAAAAAAGATGGGTTTTCGTCATAGAGATTTTAGTCCTATATGCCGCATTTTTGCATATTTATCTTTAGTATGTTTATTCTACATTTAGAAGACTTTACTCAAATGTGGTTTCGAAAATCACGCTCTTTTAGATACTTTTTTGCCGAAATAGAAGATAAAACCTGTTAGACAAGTTTACCATCTTTTCGTTTGATTAAATCTGGTTATTAAGGTGTTTGCCGCTTTACAGAAATGCTGACAGGCTTTTGTCGACTTGTGACACCTATAGTGAAAGCGATATATCAAAAATTAGTTTGATATAAAAGTAGTCCCAAAGTATGGCTTAAAGGTAATGAAACAATTTGATGAGTGAAATGTTGATAAGTTTTATGTGCGGATTTGATGATATTTTATTTTTGTGAACAGAAGAAAATTGTTTACGCTATATCGACTGTTTTTTTGGTTTTATTGAGCCTTCCACTTTTAAACTACTAATATCGTTATTAGTACTATCCCAGTTGGGAGCCATACATTGTCGTGTCGTAAATTATATGACCTTGCGTGTCGTTAGAGGTATGAGGATGGTTGTCATTGTCAGTTGCCCACATCATGGAAGGGTAGTTCTTCTCTAGAGACTTAAAAAGGATAACGTCTTACTGTGCGATAATACCTAAGCCATGCAACCAGCACTTAGTCAGTTGGCAATTAGTGTCCGTAGGTATGGTATGTGCTTTGCACCTTCGAAGTGCAAAGTACTTTTACAAGACTGATAGCACTCTGATCCTGCACTCACCCTGGGTAGTGAGCAAATAGAAGTAGTCGAGAAGTTCGTGTATCTAGGTAGCTGCATAAGTGCTGATGGTGGCGTGAGTGATGAGATCAATTCACGTACAGTGCAAGGCAGAGAGCCTTATGCCAATCTGAGCCATCTTTGGCGCCCTCGTGATGTTTGTCTGACTGTAAAATGTTAGATCTACAACACGTCAGTGAGAGCAGTTTTGCTCTATGCTTGTGAAACCTGGCCTCTTAGAGTTGAGGATGTTAGACGACTCTTTGTGTTTGACCATCATTGTCTCCGAAGGATTGCTGACATCCAGTAGCAGCACCATGCCAGTAATGCAGAGGTTCAGCATCGTGTGTTCGAGCACAGCGGCGATAATTGAATTGTTTGAAACATCGGCTTCGGTGGTTTGGAAATGCCCTACGAATGTCGTCCCAGAGAATTCCACATCGCGCATTATTTGCGGATACCGGGACTGGTTGGAAAAAGCGGAGACGTGGTCAGTGTATGACATGGTATCGTAGTATGGAAGAAAGTTATACAGGACTGGCTTTTTGGCCCTAGTTAGGGTCCTAGGGATGGTGCAACACAGTGGCTAGAGACAATGTCAGATATGTTTCAGAGTAGAAGCGAATGGCGACCCTGCTGTAACTTTATTTTACTTCATAAAAAATGGAAGTAACTTCTTTAACTGGAAGAATTCTTTCTGGTTGTACCTTTACTAACTGAACTGCTTCACTCATTATTATTTCACTCTCATACACTAATCTCTGTTTGTTGTTGCTCTCTTTATTATGCTCACTTTACATTCACTATCTCTTCACTTCATTGTTATTGCGTGGCGAATATGTATTTATACATAATGAAGCTGTTATTTTTCAAGGTGGCCTCATTGAGTTGATACTTTAATTTAATGAACAAGTCAGAAATGTTTTGCGGTTGTCTGTTGACTTACGAAGCATGATCAGTGGACAAACAAACACGTTATCACACTAAGTTAACCAAGGCTGTTTCATTACATACGTGTTTCACAAAATTTGAAATTAATTTCTAGTAACAAAAAGACAGTACTTACTTTTTTTGCTACCATCCCATTTAGAACAGACATAAGATTGTCAACATACTGTGTGTTGATTAACTTGGCGTATCTGAAAAATGGTGAACATACTACGTAAAGTTAAAAAGAAATTACTTAGATAATCCTTTAAAAATGGCAGACAAAAGTTCAGAGTCAGATGTTGTTTTCAAAATTTTGAAGAAAACAAACAGTACTTCATTCATAACCAAGGTGTTCTAACATTCGAAAATAATATCATGAAGGAAATCACATTTACCATTTTCAGACGTTTTTCTCTTGTTTGAAGGGACTGGGTCTCAGCCATCTCCTTCTGAAGTTTGCGCTCCATTTTGGACTCCTAAGAAATGAAAATGATATGTGAAATAGTATTTTTAGGAAACTATTTACAAAGCAAGTTACCAGTTTCGGTTGCAACAAATTTGTTTGCAGTACCAATAAGTAGACGCAGAAGAAAGCGACCGAATATCGATTAGTGTTGTAGGGTATAAAAATCGTATTTCCTGTATATCTCTTCATTTGGTAATGATTAATCGACAAGGAATCAAACACCTACGTCACCTACGGTGAAGGCGAGATATTCGTATATGAATTAAGGGACGAGTATACTGCCCAGCAGTTCGTTCTACTTTACGGCTGCGAAACGTGGCCATTAAGAGTAGAGGATACTCGTAGGCTACTGGTATTTGATTACAGGTGTCTTAGAAATATTGCTCGCATCTGTTGAGACCACCGGGCATGTAATAGTGAGGTTACACGCAGGGCATTACGGAATGATAGTAAATCAGTTGGTGAGGTTGTAAATTTTCATCGACTGAGATGGTTGGACCATGTGTTACGTACGCCTGAACACCGATTACCATGACGCGCAATGCTGACTAGTGTTGGGATGGTTGGAAGGAAGTTACAGGTGGCCATACCAAAACGTGGCATCAGTCACTGAAGTCACGAACTTCTGGTGTGAGCCATGTTGGTAGATGCAGACTACTTGGTTGGGGCCCGTGTAACTATCGTAACCAATTATTAGAGGCTCTGAGTGACATGGCTAAGAATCGATCACAATGGTGTAGGTGTATACACCCCTTGTCTCTCCTTAAACCGTGGGATTAAAATTGCTTTGTGCCTTTCTTTCTACGAACTAATTCTTGCTTCCTGTATTATATCCTTATACACAATATTTCTTTTACACATTACTACTATTGAAGTAACTACTTCTATGAACTCGGTGTTCATCTTGTTGTGCTATTAAGATATGGCAACTTGGACCGGTGCATATACGTGCCTGGTTCTACGTTGTAGCTGACTGACTGACATTGTGTAAGGACATTTAGAGAACTTTAAAGCAAGTAATACTGTAACACCAATTGTTGGGAATTAATATAAACCAATAAGCAGGTACATAAAGGGAAATACAAATAAGTGTTGTTATTGATACACATGTTTACTCATCTGTCCAGACCAGTTAGTCATCAAAAACGTGAGAGCAAGCACAACAGGAAGAAAGTAACATGAAATTCGTAGATGCCAAATTAATTGTATCGATGATAGCAAGGGGGCTTTATGCAATATAATATAAAAACGATGTTCGTAATCGATGACTAGAAAATTAATTATTATGAATCAATATCTCAAAGAAAATAAGGAATGAATGGATTTAGGCTACTGACAACGACTTAAAGATATCATCCAAGTTCTCATACCCTAGTCAGAATCGTTTTGAGTTGCTTCACTTGATGAGACTTAATTCAGTTGGGCTTTAGAAATCGGTTAGTGACACTAGCTCTCTGTGTGGATGAAAACCGAACATATATGTACTTGATAAGTAAATCACCATGTTTTTGCTAAGAACATAGTACCCACTGTGTACTTAATTTAAGAGTTACGCTGAACTACTGAGGCTAACAATGACAAACTTTGATGTATTTTGGCACAATGAAAAATGTTAAGCACTAACCTTTCTTTCACGCCGTGAACGTAGACGCCTATCGAGCTTAGGCTTTCCTTCCTCTTCATGGCGTTCGACCTCTGTAATAGAGACACAAGACAAAGCCTTAATGACGGAGACTCCAACTTTATAAGACTTTGACCGACAAAAGCGATGAATGGTACGACAGATCTTTTAAAGTCAACTGAAAAAAAATTGAATAGTACCGTTAGAGTAACGTCTCGATCAGTATCGTTTTCAAACATGTTATTCAGAGTCTTTATTATCAGTGAGGAAACCTGTAAATAGTTAAATAACGTTTCGTTTATCACCTGCGTCCTTGTAATGTTGAGGTAAGGGGGTAAAACTTCTATTAACTCTTTGCTGTAGTTGAAGTCTGGATGACTTTCTAAGAGCTGACAGACGCACCTTATGGCAGCTAGCTTTTCGTTCTGCAAAACGTCACTAAAAAATTACAAGACTACTTCATTCCAATCCAATTTTGAGTATATTTTCAAACGAGGAGACTTCATGTCCAAACACTTGTCTGGAAATAATTGTATTTAACGCAATTACCTCTTAGGATAACTCTGAGCAATTCAGTATACTTCCGGTAATTTAAAAGTAAGTGTTCCTCATAATACCATATTTTCCTAGTTTCTTTTTTAGTCTGCAGAAAAACATAATCGCTGTGCGTTTAGTTACCGGTTGAGACTTTTCTTTCTCAGTAGCAGGTCGTATGCGGTAAGCAGGTAGCACGTCCTTGAAAACGACACACAAAGAGGCAATAACCAAAGCCCTAATTTGCCTGAGTTTTCGGAAATGTTCAGATTCAAAAGTCTTTATAATGTCTCTAAGTAAGTTAATCTTGAGGGATAAATGAGAATATACATGTTACATTTTCCTCCGGAGATCTCAAGATGTTTTCACACTTGATAGCGATTGAGTGTTTAATATCTGATATTACGCTCCTCGTCGATAACAGCTGCTGCACACCTGACAACTTATCGCCTGCAGTCATGCTAAGGACGACCTTCAACTTTAATTGTGCCTCTAAAGGTATAGACGGTTGAAATTGTTGTGCACAACAAATATATCTAAAATAGGATAAAGTATGAAAATAGTGAGGAAAAAGTAGACATCAAGAAACATGATGAAGAAATGATGAGTATCTTTGCAGATATACACATTCAACTCTTTAATTTAGCCATAAAACTAATAAATTTCGGAGAATTACCTTGTAGTGACCTACTTTTATCAAGAGAACGCGTTTGGTTTGATGGAAACAGTTATTGTTATAACCAATTGTACCAGTGATTGTTTTACTGTACTCCTTTGCTTAACTGTACCAAAATATATACATTCTTCCTTTGATTTTGACCTTGCACGAATTCATTTAGGCTCAGTAACCCCACATTTAACCTGACACGATCTCGGTATTCTTTCGATACGACGAGATTGCCAACGAATACATCTCGACTACAGCCATCAACTGCCTTCTGATATTTAGCTTACGAGGGATCTTATCGGTTAACTGGCACGTAGCCTTCCTGTCTTGGTGATCATAGTCAACCACGACTCAACGCCACACTACAATTAGTGAGCTAAATCTAGTGGCACGTCTCAACCTCTGGTCAAAACCGCGACTCGATACTACGCTACAACCTCGCGCGTTGGAGTGAAAAACTTCAAGCGGAAATACTTTATTGTGGTTTCCTGAGTTGTATATGACAATCAAGCCACCTCCTGTTCGTCTGAAACCTAAAAATTACCGCTTAAATCAGCGATGTTGATAGCCCTGCGGATTTATGTTAGCCTAGAATCCATGTTCGATGCATTCCCCTTCATTTGAATTAAAAGATTCATATTCCGTTTACCGGGGAGTTTAAAGCAGTAATGTTGACCTGAAGGTGTAGACGAAAATGAACCTTAAATGACCCTAGATCGACCGCATATAAACTTTATCAAAGAGGGTGGGATATGATTCTGTTATATTCGGTCGTCGCAGATTACTGTGCCGGAAGAAGAGCTGATCACTTATGCTCGGAACGAGGGACCTCGGCAATTCCTACAGCGCGAAGTAAGAACATGAGACTAGTATAAGTGATGATTTATTAGCCCCAAAACACGACGACGAACGATGATCAAAATAGTCTAAAATACACTGGTTTATATATTGATTGCACACACATTTTTGATTAACAATTAGGATTAAATCACATATAACAAATCACAGACTGATTATAGTACGTGTCAATGGAATACAAGATTATCGTGTATTATACAGAATAAAATATCATGCGACAAAAGAAAACAAATAATACAGTGAATGATCATCACATTGAATTAGAATGGATGTAATGTTGAATAAAACTCATAATGAGTAAATCAACCGAGAATTGATTTTTCTTTCCATCATATCAGATTCAGAACATTTATGGCGCGTAAAAGTGGAGAAAAACATTCTTCCAAAGAACATTGTGTAGTGCGGCGTCGAGTCGTGATTGACTATGACCACGACTACAAGAAGGTTGCGTACCAGATATCAGAAGGCGATTGAAGGTTGTAGCGAGATATATTTGTTGGCGATCTCGTGGTATCGAAAGAATACCAAGATCGTGCCAAAAGAGTACAAGCGGAATCACTGAGCAGACGCAAGTGCGTGCAAGGTCACAATCAGAAGAAGGAAGAATGTCTTCTGTACAGTCAAACAAACAAGTACAGTAGAACAACCACTGGAGCAATCGGTTATAATAATAATTGCTTCCATTAAACCAACCACGTTCTCCTGATAAAAGTAGGACACTACAGAAGCACCTCGCTAGAAGGGGTTTACATACTCGATACGTAGCGGTTTCGTTCATGGAACTGACTGGCAAACGTGCGATTATAGGACAAAAAGGTTGGCGGAACAGGAAGCGATCGTTGATCCTCGAGTTGCCAACGAAGGTCATTTTCGTAGAACAGTACCAGGAGAAGTGTACTGTATTTGCTGCTCGAGTTAGCGTACCACACCATAGTGTTAGTCTCGTTCGTGTCGCGTGAGCTTGCAATCTCATTCGAAGTCAAGGGCGGCGTGACCCGCTGATCTGGACGTGAGACTGTCGTCTCGCCCGTAGATGGTGCGGATGACGCGTGCTGTTGGCCGGGATGTTAGAATAAGATCTCTGATGCATCTAGCGTGGGACCTGAAGAAGGTTTAAGGATCACGCTAATAGGTTTGATAGGTCTGGCATCGGGCCTCAAGTTATCTGGTAGGGTACTGTCATCGACGTGTGCTGGTTTGGGACGATCGATGCTGAGGATCTCGACGCGACCATGTCGATCAACCTTGAAGGTCTTTTCGTGGCAAGAGATCACGTGAAAAGGTCCTTCGTAAGGCTGTTGCAGAGGTTTGCATACCGAATCTACTAGTATGAAAACATGTGAACAGGTAGATAACTCTCGAGGGAGAGCGACCTGTCGATGTTGTATTCGAGTTGACACCGGAGACGGCGTTCGCATAAATGCAGACAGTCGGTGGGCATAGTCTGGTTTATTGAAATCGTTACTGCTCCGTGGTGTGAAGAATTTCCCAGGCAGACGCAATGTCGTGCCGTACATAAGTTCAGCGGCGGAACATTGAATATCTGCCTTCAAGTTCGTTCTGATACCCAAGAGGACGAGCCGTAAGTTTTCTTGCCAGTTGTCGTATTCGTGTGCTCGCAGAGCACTTTTAAGCTGGTGATTAAACCGTTCAACTAAACCATTCGACGCTGGGTGGTAGACGGTAATGCGTATGCGTTCCGTAACAAGCAGCCGGGTCAGTGAGGAGAATAGTTAATTGGGGAAATTTCTCGAATAAAGCGTAGAATATATCGTCGCGTGAATGAAATACACCTAAGATTCGGTACGCGTACATCGGAGTCCATTATATTAATACTGTTCTTATCTTTATCCGTCATCTCAATTTGTTGCCAGAATATTATATATTGAAAGATATCAATATGAAAATGTGCAACAGACGTGGATAGATGAGTAATAGACTCATCGCAATTGGCTATTTTAGAAGATTTGACCAGAGGTTGAGACGTGCCACTAGATTTAGCTCACTAATTGTAGTGTGGCGTTGAGTCGTGGTTGACTATGATCACCAATACAGGAAGGCTACGTGCCAGTTAACCGATAAGATCCCTCGTAAGCTAAATATCAGAAGGCAGTTGATGGCTGTAGTCGAGATGTATTCGTTGGCAATCTCGTCGTATCGAAAGAATACCGAGATTGTGCCAGGTTATAAGCGTGGGGAATGGGAAAAACGTAAGGGCCTTTCGAAGCTGCCCGCCCTTTCGCTTCAACTACCTAGAACGGCCTGACAATACGCGGTCATTCCGTATTTCAATTGCCGTGGGTTTTTTCGGTTGCATGTGTATCAATTCTCTTCATCTTTAAGTTATTTTTTGCTGCATTAAAAAGCACAAAATAACTACCGAAAGCATTAATTTAGGGTTCTCTGTTTTGTAGTGTACATGTTGGCTCTGTTGTTGCTTCGTAACTTCATCTGTAATCCCAACTGCTGTAATAAACCTCAACGAAATGTCAGGTCACCGGTAGATTTTAAATATTTGTAGTACTTCCTTTTTTATAATTAATGATGTATGTTTGTAGTGCTTCATGCTCAAGTGACATTTCAGTGGACCTTTGCGATGATTTTCAAAGTAGGATACTGAACAAGCGTTTCGCATGCTGGGATGACATTTACAGCGCGCTAAAAGAGTTTCAAAAAGTTTGGGTGAATATTTTTATCCCTTCTCAGACAGCCCATACTAATTAGATCCACACGGAAAGCAAGTTACTGAAGGATATCAGGTTCAAATACCTGTTTGTCACTTTTCACTATACATTTGATCATAAGCGTAATTCGGAATGTTTGAAAGTGAATCAAAAACCGTGAGAACTTTAACTAATATCTGACGTTTAAAGTCCAAATTCCTTAATTGACAAGCAAAGTTCCGTGTAATACTGGAGGAGTAAGGATATGTCATCAAATCCTACAAGATGCTCCACAATCATCTATGTAGTAGTTCATGGATGGTTTGTGATCCATGGACAAGAAGATTGTCGTCAGAAGAGGAAGATAATTTGAAGTCAGTCATTTTTAGATGAACTTATAGAAAGTGTCAAGGAGAGAACTGGTAAAGTGGTCACGGCTGCTGATGTAAAGACTATGAAAGCTAAACTCTCCACAGGTAAGTGTATAAAAATATATTTCAGGTTGTTGTACTCGAAAGAAGGTAATGGATTTGCTGCGACAAAAAGGTGAAGTGAGGGAACATTTATAAAATGGATATGGTGAACGTTTCGAGACGGAAGTTGGGAAAAAAGTCAACAATTATTATTTAAGAATTATCAATAACTTGTAAACTTGTTTTTATGTTTCACTATTAACGATGATCCAATAAACTTTTGCATAATTTTTATTTTCCTCTTATTCCTACTTTCATAGGGCTGAGTACCAGTAATGTTCACGAGTTAGTGTCTGTAAGAATTAAGAAGGAATGAGTGACGCTACTTCCACGTAGGGTCCTACAGATCTTACCGTCGTTGGATTACGTTTATTATCAAATTAGTATCAGTACCTAAGTAGACTATAATTTCATATGATTAGTTCTGCTTATGAATTTAAATAAAACCAGAAGAAATACTGACGCAGAATAGTATGCATTCATTATATTTCGTGGTTCCTCGTCAGCTGCTTACAACCAAATATGTATTAGAATTTAACATTGAGGTATGAAACAGTTTACATAGCTGAATGTAAAGAATTGGAATAATGCAGGTTATCAATAATAACCTTATACATATGTATATATTCAATAACACGTCAGAGGTTATTTGTTGTTAGAATCAAGAAAACATTAAGGATGGGTGGTGTAATAATCGAGTGGAGTTCAGAGACAGATAAGTGGTGTGAAAATATTATAGGTAATAAAGGATTCGTGGATTTAAAAACTGAGAAGTTTGGTTACGTTATAATTGAATAGA